GAACTTGATTGTAAATATTATGAATTGCTGCTGTGTCAAATAAATCACAAAATTTTAGCTGTAACCCACTTCAGTTTATGCATTTGTTTTCTTCCTTTATCAGAGATTCTGAAAACACAAGAAACTGTAGTACTGGAGAATACTTCCCAATATTTTATTTTTAATTTTTTTTCCAGTCCGGTGCTCTACTTGACAGGGCTGAATGTGTTAGGATTGACCCTTACACACATTCTTGTGGGATTTTGTTTGTTTGTTTTTCACTGCATAATGAAAAATTCCTCACCAATCTGATTTCTTGTGATCATTCCATCAGGAGATACAGAGGGAATCCAGAGTTACTGACAGTCATCTGTTACAACAGCCTTTTATATGTTGCGGGACTGTCTATGTCCATTTAGCCTCCGTTGCCACACTAAACAAATGTAATTCTTCCGTCTGTCTAATCATGCTATTTGACAAGATTTCTAAGCCTTTACTATTATTTCTGTTCTCCATACTCTAGAACTTAACATCCTTGTTTTTTAAAATGCTGTATGTAACAACAAAAAAGCATCAAAAGGTTATCTCTGGATTGCCAATAGGATAAAGAATAAAATCTAGTTCTCACTAAGCCCGATAAACTGCTAGAGCTAATTCTGACACAAGTTACCTGGCTGTTAGGTGCGTCTTTTTATTACTGATAAATGCCAGATAGTTTCAGAAGTGAGCTATGTGGAGGTAAATGTGAGGAAGATGTGAAATTAAGTAGTGTAAAATGATATTCATCAAGCTGCTTAAAGAAATGAAAGTGAAACTAAACCAGGTAACATAGAAATTCCTCCTCTTTACCTACAGCTAAACCAAGAAAGTATTTTACATTTCAATATTCATACATAGAAACTGATCCTCCACACATTCACGGTGTAATGTTTGCACCCTGACATTGTGGGATTTTTTAAAAAATACATATATGTTCTTTATAAATACTCTTTCAGTTATCTTTTATTAGAAGTCTAGTAAATCTGTGACTTTTAGGAAGCTCTGATGGTTATCTTTTCCATTGGGAGGGCTCAAACTCTTATCTGACCCTGTAAAATTTTTATATCTATTTAACAGAATGAAACAACTCTGAATTTTTTTTTTTCTTCAACAGGAAGTCCGTAAAGTAAGTGAGAGTATCAAGTATAACCACCCTTTGAGAAAATGTGTTGATACAATACTGAAAAAGGTAATAAATTGCTCATCTTCAGCCATAATTGTTCAACTGGGAGGGGATGCTTCCTGAACCTACTGAATACTTGTACATTATTTTCTTTTCCCCTTAGCATAAAATGTCTAATTGGCATCTTGTGAGTTTCTGACCAAACTTTGAGTTGAAATTCTTTGTGGAATTCTTTTTTATGATGTATGTAATTATCTGCTGTATTTTGACATATGTAGTATTTTAGAAACAGAAAAATGTACACTTAGAGTGAGCTTGTCAGTTGCATGAAACGCCCTAAACATTTACAAACAATTAACAAAGAGCACTTGCTACTCCTTCACCTTCCTGTTAATTTTTCCTTTTCCTTCCAGTGTCCTACTGAGTACCAGGAAAGAATGGGTAGGAACATGGACGATTATGAAGATTTTGATGAAAGACAGAACAGTTATCCAAGTGAAAAAAGTTTGGTCAAGCTTCATAAGCAGGTATATTAATAAATGAGAGAATGCCTCACTTGTGCTAATGTAATGAGAAGAAATGCTACTCAGACAAAGTTTTTCAATTCACCTGAATTGCTGAGTATGGTAGGGTTTGGGATTGCTACTTAACAGAAACTTTTCTCAGTGAAAGAAAAGAAGTTGGATAGTGCAAGTGATGTCCAGATCAAATTTCTGGATATGTAAAAAGTGTTCTTGTTGCATTACATCTTGGCAGTGTTTTGTCTGTGAGTAAGCCTTGTAATGATTAATTGACAGTGCGTGTTAAAAAAGAAATTGTAGTAAAAGCTTGATATTCACTAAGATGCAAAAAATAAAGCAGTATGTTGGAAAAAGTAGGCTGTTATTGCTACAGATAGATTGTGGTAAAAGAACTTCAAAACTCGGGAATCACGCATGTAGTCCTCTTACGATTTATGTGTTTAGAGAATTAATTGCCTGCTTTTGTGAGTATACAGAATTAATCTTTGCAATTCTGTAGTGTAGGCATTTTTAAGGGATTTTGCAAGGCTTTTTTCTCCTTTCTTGAAACAAGTGTGTTGTAACCATAATTTCTTGGAATTAGGTAATCTATTCAGTACAGAGACATCGTCGTACACAGGTCCAGTGGCAAATTCTTTTAGAACAAGCATTTTACCTAGAAGATGTGGCAAAAAATGAAACCAGTGCAACTCGACAGTTTGTTCATACTTTTCATTCCCAGGAACCAGAGAATAAAATTATTCAGTATTTCTACACACCAACTGTTGGTAAGTGCTGTCATGGAGATTTTGGATATATAAAGGAGTAACTGGTACCATTTTGTAAGAAGAACTGATTGTTGTATGTAAAAAGTTCAGTTACAGGGAAGCAAGTGTGCATCTTAATGCTTTTCTGTAATGGAATAACTATCAGGTATTGATTTATGCTCTTGACCACAAACTTTTTATACAAATTTAATAGCAGTTACATGTTGGAATAGCAAACTGTGAAGCCTTAGAAGAAGAAAGAAAAATAACAACTTTAAATTATTGGATCATGGCTACCTTCTGCGTTCATGGGATATTACTGACATGGCACTGCTCTTCTGGTAAAACAAAGAGGAAAGGACTCTTCATCTGTCATATACCAAACATTAGGAGATGTGGCAGCTTGTGCCATGTCTGGTTTTGTGATTTTTATTAACCCATTCCGGATGTGTGTGTGTTTGTTTTTTCCAGAGTGGTACTGGGAATGTCTTCTACGACCATGGTTTTACAGGGTGCTTGCGGTTGTTCTGGCCATGTTCTCTGTAATTGTTGTGTGGTCAGAGTGCACATTTTTCAGCACAAAACCGGTTTTATCGCTATTTGCAGTTTTCATACAGCTGGCAGAAAAGACATATAATTATATATACATAGAGGTAAGTTTGAGATAATCACTCAACAATCTATCTGAAAATATTTTTATTATTACAATAGTAGTAGACCAGATTGAATTAAAAATTAGTCTCTAAATAATCTGTCAACTTTCAGAAGGTCTTTAAAATATATAATACCAAACTTTGTTTCTGTAGAGGGAGTCTACCTTTTGCCACTTTTACAACTCTCCAATACGGGATGAAGGTGTGACTCAGTTGAGCTGAATATCATGTATGGAATAATTTGTGAAACATCAGCTTGGAACTTAGATGTTTAGACTTTGTGTCTAATCAGCCATGCGTGTGTCCGCTTTTTCCTAAACAGGACTTTGCTGCTGACGAGAAACCCAGCCACAGGTGTGGCTAGCATATGCATGCACAAATGATTCAGTAAAGGAACTGAGCTGAAAAATTCCAGTATACTAACAAAATAAGTTGAATTAAAAACAGTTGGGTTTACCACTTTTTGTGGGAAGAAATGTCAAATCAGTCATAGTAATTATTGAGGCAATTACAGCAATTTCATTTACATAACAAGAAGTAGAATAAATGTTCCTGGTGTCAATTGTGTTAGCTTATATGAATTGCAGAATATTACAAGTTCACTCTCAGTTTAAGTTAGTTAAAAAAACCTCCTGAAATGCTTCTCAGAGCTGGTGTTACTGTCCCATCTCAAAATGAAAAATTAGGCTGCAGTCAACCTGTTGCATGCACAGACTACATGCTGAATGCGTTAAAACCTTTGGTAGAGTTCTACATTCAAACAATGTTTGTGTTTTTTTTTTTTCCCCAGATGGCCTGTTTTCTTACCATCTTTTTCCTAAGTATCTGTGTATACTCTACTGTCTTCAGGATCCGTGTATTTAACTATTATTATTTAGCTTCACATCATCAGACAGATGCGTACAGTCTTCTTTTCAGTGGCATGTGAGTATGTGGCTTATATTTTGCAGATTTTAAAAAACTGCAATACTGAAATTGAAATGCTCAATTGAAAATGTCCATGAAACTTTCTTTCATATTCTTTCTTTTATAATCATATGGGTATAAATCCTAATGAACTGTACATCATTATTATGTGATATAGTCAGTTATGATTTCTTAATAGTTTTATTGCAAGACATTGTTTTAAATGCTGTTTCCTCTTGCATTTGTGCAGGTTATTTTGCCGTCTTACCCCACCATTATGCTTGAACTTTTTGGGCTTGACCCATATGGATGCAACAATCTCTCACAAAAATGCTCAGCCAACTGCTTATACTTCTGTAAGTACAGAAAATGTGATTTTGAGCCTTCTATATGGTTTGGAGAATAGGCAAAGTATTTTTCAAGACTTCTTACAGCAAGGTTCAGATATTAAAATCTTTTCATTAGTATTAAATAGAGTAGAAATACTTACTTATAGACCAGGAGTTTGGTAATGATTGCTTGTGGCATATTGATGCACGGACTCCGAGTGCAGATCGAAGACTCTTTATTACAATCAAGCAAACTTTTTATACCTCTACAGCAGGCTAACGTGTCAGCCTGTAACTGAGCTTCAGTAATTTTCCATTACAGCATTTTTTCACTATTTTTTTTTTTTTAACTATTACAGACATAGCAACTTTCTTGTAATCTACAAGGCCAAAGACTAAACTTTTTTGCAAATAGCTGCTGAAACAGATCACTGTGTTCTGCTAACTAGGTTCCATATCTTAAAGCTTCACTTCTTACTCCCATGGCTTTCTGCCAACGAGCATAACTGTGTCCTTCTCCCAGGGTCGGCCTTCGCTCACTGATGCTGTCGAGCTGGCTCGAGAAATACCCGCATCTCCCCCTTCTTTGTTTATAAAAAAGGCCTGTTTCAGCGCTTTGTCTAGTAGAGCTTGCACACGTGTTAACACACAGGCAATGCAGAGCAGAGTACATACAAAAAAGAAGCAGCATCCTACACCTATTCGTAAGCAGCTTTTTATCCATCT